TTCTCCAATTCAGTTCTTCATCTATGGACCTAAATTCTATAAGGAAAGAGAGTTTAAAAATAAAGGACGTGGGTTTCAAATTCAACTGCACATTTATTCAATAAAATAAGTAAAACAATTCAGTGTGTATTTAATTCATTTTTGGTAAAAGTATGAGAAGCAAAAAAAAAAGTTCAACAAGCGCCCGACAGGACCCATCCAAAGATGGTGTTCTGTGCTAATAGCGGGCCGAGAGTACCCGCCGAGTAGGATTTTGGGGAAGACTTCGGCGCCTAATACTAAGCGGACTGGTGCTGTGATGTGGAAGCGCGGGTCCGTGAGCTTCAGGTTCGAATAAGCGGCGACTACGGTAGCGTCCAAACTAGTAATTGGTGTCCGCTTCCGATAATTTTTAATGCAAATTGCGTGCGTCGTAACGGTGGCTGAGTGTCCATGCTTTCCTCTCAACTTAATGAAATAGCCCCTCTGGGAATTTATTGCAGTTACCCCAAGATTTAATTCCCTCGCCAAATCTTCGGCGATTATGGACGTTGAAGCGCACGCATCAATTACGGCTCGAACCAAATGTAGGCGGCCCGCTGCTTCTATCTTGACCACAGCTGTCGGCGCGATAGATGTGAGGGCTTGAATCGGATGTACCGGGGCTCGGAGGTCCTGGACCATACCGGACCGGAAACCGGTTCTAGGCGGAAGGTGGAATGCTTGTGACTCCACTCTTCCCTGCTGTCGCCGATGACGCGGTCGTTTGTTCAGTCGTCGAGTTTGAAGACGATGCCATTCGTTTCGCGGTTGGAAAGTTTTCATTTCCTTTCCGCTTAGCTCTCTTTGCTCATATCTCAAGAGCTGCCCGTAGCGCTGGGGTTCCAGCTCCACTTCACTAGCCGAGTCCAGATGGAGTGCGTTTGACTCCATTCCGGTTGATTCTTCTGGGCGGAAAGCGCTAGTTTCCGCTCCAGTTTCTGGCATATCCCCCTCCTCTAGATCTGGGCGGAAAGCATTAGTTTCCGCTCCAGCGACTGGCATTTCTTCCTCCTCCAGGTCTGGGCGGAAAGCATTCGATTCCGCTCCGACCTCAGACGCATCTAGTGAAAGCGCATCAGCACTGTCATTGTCATTTATTGGCCTCCTTGATCGTCGCTGACGTCTTGCTCCATCGCTCACGTTGTCAATATGGAGCATGGTGTGGTGTTCTTCGTTACAGCGTCGACATCTCCCTGGGTTAGTGCAGTGTGCTGCACGATGTATCCCCGATAAACAATTCGTGCAATAGCGATGGATCAGAACGTCACGCAGGCGTTCTTCTGGTCTTTTGGCACGAAATATTGGGCATACTCTTAAGGGATGCTTGTTGCTGCATAATCTGCACGTCAGCGGGTAATTATTTGCCTCAGCTTGTTTGCGTACATTAGTGAAGCGAGTCATNCGGGACGCTTTTTGCTGCATAATCTGCACGTCAGCGGGTAATTATTTGCCTCAGCTTGTTTGCGTACATTAGTGAAGCGAGTCATCTTCTGAAATAATCTTGTATGTAGCGCACCGACAAAAATGATCGATTTTGGAATGGCGAGCAATATTGAAACGAGATGGAGCATATAAGGTTTTTTCCGTAATGACTAAAAGTGCACAGTGTTATGACCCCTTAATGATTGATAGGTGGTTTGACCGTGCATACGTGCCTTTATGGTTGATGGGTTGGTACAACAGGGTTGCAAGAGGTATGTGGGTTTATTACCTGACATGGAGGCTGTAAAAACTTCTTGCCAATTAAAAACGCTCATTTGGTTTTGAGAATAGTATTTAAAATAAAAAACAATCCATTCTGACGTATTTGTAGCTCTTTTGGAACGATCATCTTGCTTCGTTTCATAAAATTAAGGTATGGCTCGCGAATATCAAGAATGTGAATTATTTACGTATTATAAATAATTACGTATTATTTATGTATTCTCCCACCCTATCTATTTGAAAATAAAGGCAAATTATTTTAAACTGTACAAGTACTTCATGGACAATTTTCACACATATATGCGCAAAGTGGGTAACCAGCATAAGGAAAATTGAACGTGTAGCCCTGGCATAACAAAGTCGAGGCATATTCTGAAAAGTATCGAATTCATTTTCCTGTTATCGATAGTCATCTTCTATTTCCGTGAATGGCCGCCTGTCATTCATAAACCACGTTTCGCTTGCGTAAGTACATCTATTATTTATATCATTTTTCACACTATTATAATTAACCGTTCTTTTCTTTTCAGGACTAGTGTAATTGTCAAGACAAGATCAGAGGAAAGAGTCAAAATAAGTGAAATTGCGCTTGATCATTTCGACACAAAAGGTATGACAATTGCAAAAGTTGGCAAAAAAAATTGAAGCGCAGTAAAATATTATGTTCCCCGAAATATTGTTAAGCAAGCGGACGTAAAAATACGAGTACAGCAGAAAGGACCAAAGTGAAAGAAATTAATTTCTATATTCCCAGACGCACTAAGCAAACCCTCTGGAGAGCATATTAACACTAGTGGGTGAGAAAGTAGCACGAAAAAAAACTTGTGAAAAATTTTATCTGGTTGTGTGTGCCTAAAGATTAGAACCAACATAATGCTACCTCATAAAAATAGAACAAAAATATATTATAAATACCAAGTAAGCAGTTTACAGTGCATGTGCCCGCTTATCAGGGCAGCGAAATTTGGCGTGCGACGCTCTAAAAATTTTATATAAACGCGAGAACGAAAGGTGGACGTGAATTGTGGAAAGGCAGTACCCGTGGCCTGTGAGATAAAGGAAACCAACAAAGTGTGACAAAAAAAACAATCAAAAGCATAAATTTAATTTAAAAGCAAAGACGAAAGATGGACGTGTATTGTGGCGAGTGGTTCTTGTGTATTTGCGGCCATACTAAGAAAACTACGTGTAGCGTTTGTTTAGACTTAATAACTGCAAGGGTTTTACGCTTGCTACACTGTTTTCTTAAGCTGACAACAAACATAATTCGGTGTATATGTACATGTGTATGTGCGTTCAAGAAATCTATAAAAATTTACTACAGTTAATAGGTTCATTCCTTATCTTTTTGGACTAAAATCTGAAGAGTGTCAAAATGCCAGAGCGTAAGCAAAATGCGCTCACTAGAAGAGAATAACAAGAAAAGTAAAGGAACGCAAAAAAACAAATTTTTAGTCCAAAGAATGGCAACAACCAAACTAACGTCAAATAAGAACAGAAATGTATGTACAAAACACATTCACACAAGCACAAGCACAATAAACACTTACTATATCAATTATTTTTGGCCTCCTTCCAATTTCAATTCATTTCTTTTACTTTTTAGATTATTCTCACTTTTTGCGTATTCTTTAATTTCCGTTAATTTAAATTCAGTTGTGTTTCACACTTTTCAGGATTTTGCCAGAAAAAATTCTTCTGACTAAATCTGACTACTTCGGACTGATGAGAGTCACTCTCACTGACTGTTGCTCTCTCATTTTTGCTGTCATTTCCGAGTTAAGGAACGCTTTTTGGACTAAATCTGACTACTTCGGACTTTTTCTGACTATTTCTGGGAGATAAGGAACGCTCCTAATATAAATGTGCCACATACATACATATGTATAGATATAAAATAGAGTGCTTGGTGATTGGAACACGTTTGTGCGTTTGTTTGGTCTTGATTGGTTTGTTAACACAAGGCCTTGTCACTTGCCGCACGAGTGGAACAAACATTTAATATTAGTGTCATCGAAATTATTATTATTATTTTTTTTTTTTTATGCCCTACGAATGATACGCCATTGGGACGCGAACACTCCTATCGAAGCAGCAGTTCATCGGATCAAACCAACATGCCAGCGAGGGTTCGCAGAGGCGGAGGAGAAACGGGGTAAGCGTTACTTTAATTCTTTATTTATTGCTCCTAGCTCGATAAACGTTCGCTAAAGCTCTCAAAATTTTTTACACTAAAGCGGGCAAGAAACAGCTAACTTTCTGGCAGTTACTAATTGTTTATGAAATTTCGAGTAAATAGTTTTGTTGTGGTTTCCTTTAACAACGCAATTCTACCTTGTATTTCTTGGCTAGTGGGTAATTCCACTGTGCCCGGTGTACAACAATTATGTAAAATAAATAAGCTATATGTTACTCTCTCAAATAATGGATACTTATGCAATTTTAAACATTAAGTCGTGTACATCTTAACATGGAATGACCCTTGAGTGCGAGATAAGAAGCTTCATATAAAACACGGTAAACAGTGACGAGAGACTTCCCCTCAAATGTTCCCTGTTGCAAGTTCTGCTTATGAAGACGTTAAAAAAAAGGCATGAAATGTGCTTGTTTAATAGTTACGAAAGTAGTGGTTTAGAATATAGAGTCCTTTGAGAGCTGGTAGTACTTAGAAGAGTTCTGGTTTATTTGCAATGGAATGGTCTTCGTATAGGTTTATACAGTAGATATCGTTTCTTCTGTCTCAGCGGAATGTGGCGGTAATAACACTAATTTGACAAGCGGTCTTGTTACTTTGCCCTTCTCTGTTATGATATCTACTACGCGTACCCTGTTGTCAGAACCTGGGCGCAAATTGACCACCCTACCTAATCTCCATTCATTGGGTGGTAGATTATCTTCCCGTATGACTACTAGATCTCCCACTTTCATGTTTGATTTCGGATGCTTCCACTTAATCCGCTTTTGTAGTTCAGAAAGATACTCCGTTTTCCACCTCCTGCAGAAGTTTTGATGCAAGGCCTTGAGTTTCTCTCAACGATTGACGATCGAGGCTGGGTTTTCGTTCACATCTTGTTCTCGTGGAGCCAAGATGTGTCCGCCTACCAAAAAATAACCTGGAGTTAAGGGCTCAAGGTCAGATGGTTCATTGGAAGCTGGGCTCAGCGGACGTGAGTTGAGACACGACTCAACTCGGCATAGTAGAGTGTTGAATTCCTCAAATGTGTACTTCATATTAGACGCGATCTTTTTAAAGTGGCTTTTAAAGCTTTTCACACCTGCCTCCCACAGACCACCCATGTGCGGAGCTGCGGCAGGTATGAAATGCCAAGTCAATGCCTGATGGGCATAACGTATTCGTCCGCGCGTCGGATAGAAATGCCTTTAGTTCCGCTTTTAAAGCCCGTGATGCTCCTACGAAATTTGTCCCATTATCTGAGTACACATTTTTTGGACACCCTCGTCTGGAAACGAATCTGGAAAATGCTGCTAAAAACGATTGAGTACTTAGGTCGCTTGTGGCCTCTAAATGAATGGCCTTGGTAGAAAAGCAGACAAATAGACACACATAACCCTTTGACATTCGGCAGCCTCGTCCACGATAACTCTTAATGTCGAATGGTCCAGCAAAATCCACCCCAGCATTGGTAAATGGTCGCGAAAAAGTTGTTCGCTCTTGTGGAAGAATCCCCATAAGTTGGCCTTGCGCGCGTTTTTTATAGATAGTGCAGATCTTGCAGTTATGGATTGTGGACCTTATCATCGTTTTCACCTTCGGAATCCAATACTGCGTTCGTATGAGACGCAACATTAGTTGATTCTCACCATGGAGAGAAGTTTCATGGATGAATTGGACAATCAGACGGGATAATCTACAATTGTATGGGAGTATAACGGGATGCCGTTCGTTGTACGCTAGATCCAGAGATGTGCCAAGACGACCCCCCGTCCGCAGCACATCATCTTTATCCAGAAATGGATTAAGAGGAAGTATTTCACTCTTAGACTCAATGCATTCTTTAGTTTTCAGTTTCGCGATTTCTGCTCCGTAATGTTGCTTCTGAGCAAGTTTAATCAGGCGAGTAGTCGTTGATTTAATTTCATTAGATGAAATTGAGCAAGATTCCGACTGAAAAGAAGCTTTTGTCTTCGGATGGGTTCTTTGAAAGAAACGCAATATATAAGATATCACCCTCAAAGCCCTCGGTAAACTAGAAAACCGGTCAAGAATGTCATTGATTTTGTCTGTCGATGTTGTTGCATGAACGTGCACCCTTTTTTCCTCAATGCTCGTGGTGAAGTCTGTCTCTTGGATTGGCCATTTTTCCCTATTTTCTTGTAGCCAAGAAGGTCCCTGCCACCACAAAGAATTTTTGACCAATTCGTTCGCCAGTATGCCTCTGCTTGCTAAATCTGCGGGATTCGTAGCTGAATCGACGTGAAGCCAGTTCAAGTTCCCTACTTTGTCTAAGATTTTTGTAATTCGGTGGGCAACGAAGGTTGACCACGAACAGGGGGGCTTGCGTATCCACGCCAGAACAATCGTCGAATCAGTCCACAGATGTATGTTTAGGTGGCCTAATTCAAGATTTTTGGTGATTGATTCGACTATTTCTGACAGTAATACCGCCCCGCAAAGTTCTAATCTAGGCAAGGAAATTGTTTTGACTGGCGCTACTCTAGTTTTTGCTAATAGCAGATTTACAAGTACTTTATCCTCTTTTTCCACGCGTAAGTAGACTGCGGCAGCGTACGCTTTTTCGGATGCGTCGCAGAATCCGTGAATCTCTACCTTTTCCGTTGGTGAGAAAGATACCCAACGTGGTATCCTTATATTATTGATTTCCTGATAGTTTCTCGTGAAATTCTGCCATCTATCTAGTGTTGTTGGGGACACCGTCTCGTCCCAGTCTGTACCCTCTAACCATATGCTCTGCATAAGTATTTTCGCGACAATTATCATTGGAGCTAGCCAACCTAACGGGTCAAAGAGTTTAGCGATGGCTGATAATATCGCTCTCTTCGTTGGATTGACGTTATCTTCTATTGGCTTGGCTATAAAATAAAATTGGTCGGAATGCGCGTTCCACCTTATACCTAGGGCTTTTACACTGCTTGTGTCCTCAAACTCTAAGAAATTTTCACTCAGCAGATGTGCTTTTGGT